CAATACAGTAATTTCATTAATTTTACCAGCTCCACGACACGCGTTAGTTCCTCATTCCAGAGTTCCTATGGCGGTCTATGGGGTGTCGTAACTCTCTCTCTCTATGGCTCTCTGACTACACTATTACAGGCTAAAGATTTTTTGTATAGAGTTGTTTACTTAAAAACCTGTGTCTTTGTTCAGTAATCTTTGTCCTTGTTCAGAAAAATGTTTAGTAACCATTACAAGCAATGCCAATAAACTGTTTTATTCTTATTAAAATTCATGTGTTCTGTGTACTTTATAACATTTTGAGGGCAATTGGGTGATGACAACAGAATAAGCAATTATATTTTTAAATTAATTTTCATCCAAACGAGGCGATTGAAAGCCCTGATAGGTCTGGTCACGACTTTGGAATTGTTTGTCTGATGGTTGAAACCACACGAGAGGCTTCTTCTGCTCTTGCTTAAAACACCATAAGCCCAGCATATAGCCTGTCTGTATGCACTGTACTGGTATTGCCTAGGGATAAGTAGGAAAGATTCTTAAGTTTTAAACTCTGTAAGTAGGTTGGAAACGTCTCTGATTCATGTTTATTGTGTATGCAACACATCTCCTGTCACCTATAGCTGTTGTTCATGAACATACTCATGCGTGCTGGTTTGAAGGGGACCATTATCTTGCATGAAGTGTGAGTATGCTATGTGTAGCACAAATGGATTCAGGCATTATGCCTCATATCCAGAATGCTGGATATGTACACGTTACATCTGTATCAGTATATTTAAAGTAGCCTGCCTCCTCTGTATGGATAGAAAATTGTTATATTACAAGACACAAATTCAGATAGGCTTCTCAGAGCCTGTTTTATTACAGGTTTGAATGAATGAAATGTCTCTTCTGTATTAGAAAAATAAATATATAATTATTTTAGGTTTGAATGAATGAAATGTCTCTTCTGTATTAGAAAAATAAATATATAATTAAGAAATAACTAAAATAAATACCTCCAAATGTAACAAAAATAGCTCTCACAAAACTTACAAAAACGAACTAATAAAATGTATAGTTTTCTTCCTCCTTATCCTGTTTTTCTTCCTCATGCTTGTTTGCCCATCTGATCTTTCCCAGAAGTTTTTTGAAAACCAGGACATTTTCATAATTAAAAAAATAAAATAAAAACAGCCAGGACAGGACGGGAAAACAGAAAATGTCCTGGTAAAACAGGACTGTTGGTCACCCTAACCAAGTCTAAAGTCAGTGGCGCGTTGCGTGTACTTTCAGATGCTATTTTATCCGCATGCTTGCAGATACAGAGTGAACAACGCGCATACACATAGTAGATGATTCTCTCATTTACACAGATGCATTTTACTTTTTACAAATGATGCATTATTATAAGGAAAACTATTTAAACACGAGGGAAATCATTGTTGTGTTCATGATGACGATAGGAAAAATAGGCATAAAGCATACACATTTGCCCAAATTGATATGCATAACCGAAGCTAATATGGGTGGGTTTGTCCCATCCCCAATGTCACTTCTATTTCTTTTACAGCCCTGACGAGAACATCGATCTCCTCGGCTTTCTTTGAACCATCAGACTTTACTTGTGAACCGATTCTGAAGCGCGCCGCTGCCTGCAGCCTGCAGCTGCGTCTGCCTCATGTGACGTCATCGCCGAGTCGCGTGAAAAATAACCGTCACTAAACAAAAACTACAAAAACGGGACTTTAACACCATTTTTTGAGATATTTCTAACTTCATATACATATCTTAACTGCTTTATGTACCCATTAATCGACAGTAGTGTTTAACCTGCACCATGGCCTTTAAATTCCCTCAGAATTTAGTGTTTTTTTTTTTGTTGTTTTTTTTTTTAACAATAAAGTTGAAATTACTGATAATGCAAGAGAAGCATATACTCTCAAATTAAAAGTACTTCCGGAACCCAATTTTGCTCTGTTTCTTAATTCTGAAGCAAACTCTACCTTGCAGTTTGATTTTTGTTTCTATATTTTGTGAATGCAGATTTGAAAAATAATAACCTGTAATGCCATATCTTCTTGTGGCCTGTGGACCTACATCTGGGTGGATGCTTGACATATCTTTGACCTTTTTGAACCAGCCAATCTCTTTCCTCCTTTGAGCCAGACCTCGACGCCGAGGAGAATCAGCCCATCCGAACAGAAAAGCACTGGTACCTGCCACTCTTTCTGTCAGAGCTGTTGCTAATGCTAAACAAGAAAGAAAACAGCAGTTGAAGTGCATATAAAATGATAAGTTCACATTGAGAATATATTTTGATCTGTAGAAATACTAATAGTGCCCTTTAAATAATGGTATGCTGAGCCCAAATTAACTCAATGTTGTTTGTGCTCCATTAGCTTTTCTTTCCATATTATTTATACTTTAATACTATATTGAAACCATTTCTGTACTTTGCAAAGTGAATATTCAGAGAAAGCATTTTAACATTTCTTCTGTGATTGCATGGCCACATACCCTGGGCCTCTTTTCCACAATCCTCAAGGCCCACCTCCTCCCCTAGTGGATAGAGAGGCACCAGATCCACTGCACCCATGCATGGGTGGGTGCCCTCATGGACATTCATGTCAATCAGAGAGAAAGCACGCTCACAAGCCGACAATACAGCCTCCCCTAAAATTTACAACAATACAGATTAGCCTCTTTTGTACAATTACTTACAAAGCAATTGTTCACAGGAACTGGACATGTATTAAGAACGACTGGAAGGTCGAGCAGGCAACTCACTTAGTAGGTCAATGCTTGCAACAATAGTGATGACAGAGCGATTGTAGTCAACATCATTGAAGATGTTCAGCACTGTGATGCCTTCACGTTTTTTTCCTTATGAAGGACAGATTCAGACAATTTTGTCACAATAACATGCCAAGAAAATATTACTAATGTCTTCAGATACAGTTTAATGACCACTTTGAAATATTTTTGGTTTAGAAGTAATTAATAAAGGCAAATTTAATAGATCCATTCCATGCATTGAGTTCTCACCATGTGCGTCAGTGATGGCTGCTTTTGCCACTGTCTCCACCAGGTCTCTTCTCCGAGCTTCTGAGATGTTCAGGAGACATGCAACCAGCCGTCGACTAAGAGCAGAACCGGACATTCCTCAAGAGAGCAGAAAAACTTTTACAGAAACACATACAGGCCCGCACAGACCCAAAACCAATGATGACTATTAGCCAACTCAGGAACGCCTATTTAAAAAAAGAAAAAGAAAAAGAAAGAATCTTGTCAATACTTTATAATAACATTACTTAAGAACATTAACATAATCATCATATGTTGTGTTAACATTGTAATGTTAACATTACGACATGAACGTAATATTATATTTAACATTTGAAATTAGTTTAAGAAAAGTCATGGTTTTATGAATCTTTTCCACAAAAGGGATGAACTTTCAAGGCTGAATTGTTGTGTAAACAATCGACAGTTTTATATTGATCAGTTTCTTTCTAACAGTCCAAAGTTTATCATACTCGTAGATACAAAAAAGAGGCATCGTAGATTATTTACTAGTACCTTTTTACTAATACTCTTAACTGACTAACTAAGTAATTATTACATTCACACAAACATCGTACCTGCTTGTCATGCACAAAGTTACTTGAAAGGTGAGACTCCAGAGGCACATGGTCTCAGCTGTTTCCGCTATAACGTCCGATTCGTGAACGAATCGTTCTATTGAGTCGAAATTTCTCAATGAATCAGTTAAACCATTTCACAAAAATGTCTGAACGAAAAAAAAAAAGTATTGTAAATTTGTTTAGGCTTATTTACACAATTGGTTATAAATATATAAATATAATTTTATTTAGCAAATAGATAATAAAATGAATTTAGTATTAAGTATGTTAGGTTCAAAACTTATTTTATGATCTAAATGGCTACAATAAATTGACAAATAAAGCAAGACAAAAGCATTAACAAAACAGTGCCTATAGAACATGTATTGCATGTAAAATGCATAGAAATGCCACGTCAGAAAGTTAGGGCCATATCACATATAAATCTTTTTTGAACCGGTTCTTTGACGCGAATTGCTCAAAAGAACCGACTCAACCGAAATGAGTCATAATTAAATCACAATACTCCGCCCCCTGAAGATTAAAAAGAAACTTACATTTTGGACATTAGAGTAAACATGGTCATGCCGCATTAATCACTACAGTGTTTTAGTCATGTAGTCAATCTAAATGCGTTATGTATCCGCGCTTTTCATGAACCCCTTGGCTAAGCGCATGCGCATCGTTTTCAAGTTTTGACGCTCCCCAAAAGCGTCATTTGGTGGCGTTTAATATAAACAAATCATAAACCAGACACATTGCATTAGCCTGAACCGTTCGGTAATTTCAAAATGCTTGAATGCCTACCGGATTATCCTGGAGCATGCGTTGCTTAATTGCGTCTGTTTTGCAGTGATGGTTTCGATTTTAATGCTGCAGCTCGTGCAGTCGCCGCTACATAATCCCTTTTGCCCATGAGAAGCATCCGATCAGTTGTAGCTTGTTTATCGCTAGTCACTATAGCGAGGGAAATGAACGCCGCAGCGGGGCTGTGCGTCCACGGGACATCCGCTGCGCCCGGGCTGCTCCGCCTGACTTCAGTACCCGGTCATGATCAAAACCGTGTAAACGATGTTCTGCTCTTACGACCCGCCACGGAAATGCTGAGACGATGCGACAACGAAACAGAGAACCGGCAGAATGGAAACGGTCACGTAGTCTTCTTTCCTGGAGACATTCAGGTTGGTGCAGGTCATCTTATCAGGTCATCTCAGGTTGGTGCAGGTCATTTACCACGACTGTATGTCCTCCTAAATTAAACAATAATGGGTTATTTAATAAAGCTCTCATGACCCTGTGTAAGTATCAGATATTGTTTATACAGTGTATGATGCAATCCTCTTATTAGACTAAATATGCCTATTGCGCGTTAGAGGGAACTGCAGTACTAGGAAACCTCTGGGATTATTCACTAAAATAATTTGATACAGTTTACCTTCTGTTGCGACTAATAAGGAATCTCTATATTTCGTTTTTCCTTATAGACTTTAAAAACAGACCCAAGACACGTTTTAACATCATACTGCAGAACAGCATTTATTTGAGACAGAAATGTTTTGCAGCAATTTTGATCTATTAATGCATCCTTGCTGAATAAAAATATTAATTTCTTTCAAAATTAAAAATTAGCTTTTAGCTTTTAGTTTTAGCTTACCTGAAGGGCATCCAAGATGTTGGTGTCTTTGTTTCCGCAGTAGTTTCAATTTTGATATTTTTAGGTTAAACCGCTCTTGTCTGTCAGTCGTATAATGCAGGTCTATGTCACCACCACAAAGAGCATGCACAGAGAAGTCCAAATTAAACATGATTTAATGACTTGTAAATGTACATATCGATGGCCTAAGACACGAAACAAGCGGTTTGTGTAAAAACATGAACAGTATTTATATAGTTTTTACCTCTTGTTACCACAGCCACAAAGCACCCGCACCCTCAGATCACTTGGACGTGTGCATGCTCTTTGAGGTGGTGACCATAGACCTGACAGACAAGAATGGTTGACCAAAAAAATATAAAAACTGAAACTACTGCGGAAAAAAGACACCTACATCGTAGATGCCATTGGGGTAAGCTAAAACATACCAAAAAAATAATTTCAAAGTGAACTATCCCTTAATTTCTATTAAACAAATTACTATTGACAAAGTTATAAATTCATTGCTCAAAAGGTGTGCTGTTCAAACCCTGTTTTCTATAGTGTTCATTAATATATATATATGCTAAATTTCTTAAATTTCTCTATTCATCCTCTGTTTATAATGCAATTTCTCATTCTCATCTACTATCCAGAACTTCCAGCAGGAAATGGCCCTCCAGCCTGACGCTGCCCCATGGCAGTCCTGGAGCCTGGAGCGTGTCGCTCTCACCCTGGGGCACCGGTTTCCTGGCTGCCATATCTGGGTAGTCCGTGCATCCCGCATGTACCTACATAAGTTCAGCTGCTATCAGAACTTTGTAGAGAGCAACCTGTTTGGAGCACCAGAACACTCTCCAGACCATGGAGGTATTCGCCACCTGAGGGCACTCCTGGGTCGTGGCATGCAGCGGGCTGGTCTCCCAAATCCTTTACCTCCTCTTAGTGGTACAGCCACCCCTGACCCCCTTCCTGCAGGTTTCACCCTTACCATAGTGGGCTTCAGTAAAGGATGTGTTGTTCTCAATCAAATAGTGTATGAGCTGGCTGGAGCTCGATCGGATCCAGAACTGAGGCTGTTTCTGGACAGTGTCTCAGACATGTACTGGCTGGATGGAGGACACCCTGGAGGCAGTGAGACGTGGGTGACCAATAAATGTGCTCTGGATGAGCTGGCCTCCAGTGGGGTGGCTATTCATGCCCACGTCACTCCGTATGAGGTAAGGGACCCGATGAGGGCATGGGTTGGGCGAGAGCACCAGCGCTTTATAAAGACTCTGGAGGATCTGGGTGCCTGTCTGAGCCAGAAACTGCACTTCGAGGAGGAGCCGGCGTCCATTGAGAATCACTTCAGAGTCATTCAGGAGTTCTGACTCTTCTTGCTTTCAAGTCTTAACACGGTGTGTGGTTCTTCGTAGAGCTGTGTGTTGCACTGATGTATTTGTTAAAAAAGAGCTTTGGGTTTGCCTACGCAACACTCATAAATAGGAAAGAAGATTGAAGCTTAAATGGATAGTTCGCAGAAATAGATAAATACTGTCATCATTTACTCGCCCTCATGTCGTTCTAAGCCCGCGAGATTTTGGTTGATTGTTAAAACCCAAATTTATATTTTTAAGGAGAGCTGAGAGTTTTCTGTCCCTCCATTGAAAGTCCATGTGATCAAAACTTAGATCCACAAAGGTTATAAATAGTGGGGCGGCTAAGCGCAGATTTTCATCAGAATCGATCACTTTGCGATAAAAGCATGAAATTTGGTACGAAGGCTCACAAAGGGGGTCTGATCAGATTTAGGACCGTAGGCGCTCAAAATTTGGCCCCTGGGGCCATGTCGGGCATTTTTCAAAATGGCCGCCAAATATGGATTTCTTAATGCGAAAATGAATTTAAAGCTGCCAGAAACCTAAAATGCAATTACACAATTCACCATAAATACATGTAAATATGACCACACTTTCACATAGAAGGTCTTTATACTTTCAAATATAAGATATGTTTAAAAAAAATTGAAAATGGCCGCCAAATATGGATTTCATAATGTCATAATGGATAGACGACAGAAATTAACAATTAAAAAAGTTGCACATTTGATTATTAAACAATCTAGTTTTAGTAATAGTTCTAGTAATTTTTAAACAAAAGGAAAAGAGGTTATGATATCTATCAGAAATTATGTACTTTTTAAATGTACATTTAAATATTTAATATTAAATTGTGAGCATATACTATCATTTTTACTGGGTAGTTTGTCAGGGACTCCTTTTTATTCAGTCAGTAGGTTTCATCTTGTGGTGGCCACAGTTAAATATTATTCTCTTTAAAATCTAGGGAACTGGTGAGATGTTTTACTCTTGACTACAAGTGAGATAAAGGCAAAGTCAGTTTGTGTTTCTCACTGTTACTCAGTAAAAATAGTGTAGGCTAATACTGCAAGTAAGCAAACATAACTCAGACATGCAAATATAACATGGAATAGATTTTAGTCTGCATGAATTTAGAGTTGGGATTCTGTGAAATAAAGTAGGTGTACATTTCCACAGAATTTCATTTAGGCTGGTTGTCTAAACTAGCTGCAATTCATCCCATTTATTTCATTGTAACTCTGTGCTCTTGTACGACTTCTTTGCTCTCCAAATGCTCTAAACTGGACTATAAATATTAATTGTAAGAACTGTTGAGTCCTGCTGGATTATTTGCAAGTGGTTTAGTAGGTAGGCCTACAAATCACATTGTAGACCGAGTTTTCCTCACAAGAAAAACATAAATTAGCACGATTAGCATGATTACGACAATTAGACCACTACACAAGAACTACTTTGATCCAATGCAATGACTAAAACCTTCAAATTATTTAATCCTGGATATACTGATCCCCCAACACAAATAACTGACTGGGAACTGTGTTTCATTTGTCAGAATAATACTCAAGAGCCACTCAGATGCCCATCAAATTGCCAATGGCAGGTCAATACTGAATGTTACAAAAATCTGGCAGAGAATCTATTAAAATTTGATTAACTTAAACAACGATATCTTTACAGATTGCACAGTTAGATAAAGGGCAAGGTATAGAGGCCACATTTATTAGGAACAATGCAAAATATCACAAATTATACATGTCGCCTTAGATTCAACAATCAAATGCTACAAAGAGCTGAGAAGAGAGCTTCTACAACTGATGAGCATGACACTAGAAAATGAATAAAATTAGTTTTAAAAACCTCATTCAGTGATGACATCGATAAGACTTAATGTGGAGAGAACCTGCAGGTAGTGAGAGACTTCATAAGGCTGCTACATTTCAAATTGATGAAAAAGTTTGAAAGTGTGCCGTTGTCCTCAATGACATCAAGCTTCTGGCACAGCTCAGTGGAGGTGACATGTTGGCTTTAGAGGCCAAGTATCATTCCAAATGTTTGGCCTCTTTGTAAAATAGAGCTAGATCCCAAATGACACCTCACCAGGTGAAGAGCAGTTAGGACCAGATGTGACTAGTCCTTTGCATAACTTAATTAACAATACTAATTCATTACATTTATATAGCGCTTTTTTCAGCACTCAAAGCGCTTTAAATAGAGAGGGGAATCTCTATCATGGCCTCCTAATCATCTCCATATATATATATATATATATATATATATATATATATATATATGGAGATGATTAGGAGGCCATGATGGACAAAGGCCACTGGGCAAATTTGATTTGGCCAGGATGCCGGGGTTACACCCCTACTCTTTCGAAAGACATCCTGGGATTTTTTAATGACCACAGAGAGTCAGGGCCTCGGTTTAACATCTCATCACGACAGTATAGTGTCCTCATCACTTTACTGGGGTGTTAGGACCCACACAGACCACAGGGTGAGTGCCCCTTGCTGGCCTCACGAACACCTCTTCCAGCAGCAACCTGGCTTTCTCAGAAGGTCTCCCATCTGGGTACTAACCAAGCTCAGCCCTGCTTAGCTTCAGTGGGCAACCAGTCTTGGGCTACAGGGTGATGTGGCTGCTGGCTATATCATGTTGTAGTCTTTACAGAGATGAAAACTGTCCACATGTGGTCTGTCCTGTCATGTGGTAATCTATTCACAACTGCAGCTATTGATAATGTTGATCATGATCCATCTTCAACAACAGCTAAGTATTCTTTTCACGGAACCTCCATCTCCCTCTTTCAACATCCGTCTTCAGAGAGGAAAGGAGAGCGTCGAAAAATTGTTTCATCTCATAAGCCACGATGCTTCAAAAACAATCTACCTTTTGCCTCAAAACTATACAGATGTCTTCCCTGTCAACTACAACATTAAGACCTCATCTGTACCATCATCCCATGTTCAGTCCTTGAGCAGGCACAATGCTGGGTATATTAAGCAGGAGTTTGAATGGACAGAATATGTCAGATCAACAAGTGACAAAGCTGGAGATCTCAGTGATTTGTCACGGGCTGCATACCATGCAACTCAGCAGTCACTGGACATTGATGCCACCTGCATTACATCATGCACACAGTTGCAATGATCAGGCACTCAATGGATGTCATCAGAAATGCAATTAGTCATTTGCATCCAGAGCAAACCCCTGTGAACCCCTTTGACCAGCCACTATTTGCCTTGGCCAAGCAAATACAGTGGAAGTGGCCAAATAGATATGGTGAAATTGTGATTCTTTTTGGGGGTCTCCACATTGAGATGGCATTCTTGAGGACCAAGGAAGTGGTTGGGTAGAGGCTCTTGTTCAAGCAGACATTACAGGCACAGCTGACTCTTTCTTAAAAGTGGCCCATGTTGCTCATACGAAGAGAAGTAACAGAGGCTGCATAGTACATTTTGCAACGTGCTGCATATGACAATTACATGAATATGCATTCCTCCAGTGATGTGCTGAGCTTTGATGAATGGTGCAAGAGGCAAAAAGATAAAAGATCAGCTCTTAATCACTTGTCACTATGATGTCTAATTTTGATCACATAACATGAATTTACAGATGATTCATGAACCCATGTATAGTAATATTTAGTATTACAGGAGCAAATTTTCAAACATATCTTATATTTTAAAGTTTAAAGATCTTCTATGTGAAAGTGTGCTCATATTTACATGTATTTATGGTGAAATGTGTTATTTTATTTTATGTTTCTGGCAGCTTTTAATCCGTTTTCCCATTACGAAATCCATATTTGGCGGCCATTTTGAAAAATGCCCACCATGACCCCCAGGGGTCAAATTTCAAGCGCCTACGGTCCTAAATCTGATCAGACCCCCTTTGTGAGCCTTCCTACCAAATTTGATGCTTTTATCGCAAAGTGATCGATTTTTGCGCTTAACTGCCCCACTAAAAGGTGTTGTACAATGAATCCATATGAAGCAAGCAGTTTGAACCTTGTGAAGAGATTCGACCACTTTATATGATGACCAAATCACATGGTTAGCAAGGAAGCTCATGCGCGCATAATGTGCATTCATGCCCTAGAACAAACCTCATTGGACATTTGAGATTCTGTGACGTGCATCATGTATGTGTGTCCATTTAATCTGTTCATCAAATAAAGCAATCATATCTCTTCACAAGATTAAACTGTTTTATTCATATGGATTCATTTTACAGCACCTTTATTAACTTTTTATGTTGATCTTCTAAGATGTGGTTACTTGGACTTTCAATGGAGGGAGAGAAACCTCTCAGGTTTCATTAAAAATATCTTAATTTGTGTTTCAAAGATTAATGAAAGTCTTATGGGTTTGGAACATGAGGCTGAGTGAATGATGACATAATTATTATTTTGGGGTTTGAACTATCCCTTTAATGACCAAACTTGTAACACATTTAGCTGCCTGACATTAAGCCTTATTGTTTGCCTTTTGCATCTTACATAGGCATTGTCCAATATACTAGGATACTTGTTTTATAGTTTTTATTTGGAATGCAGGTGTGCTTTGTGAAATCATCATCTCTTCGTGTTTAAAGGGCTCTCATTTCCTAAGAAAGGAAAAATGAGCTATCTGAAAGTGGTTATTAAATTAATCTGTTTTTATGTTGTTACAAAAAATGATTAATCTTGGATTTTCATTTCAAGTATCTGTATCCCCAATGATATATGGATTTGATGATTTATTTGGAAATCCAATCAAATCAAAGAATCTAAGGATCTTCCATTGAAATTAAATGTATAGAATACATTTTTGGTTAGATGAAAAACAAAAACCTGAAACTTTAAAAATATTTTATTTACTGCCTCATTCTGTAATGTTGTATTGTCTGTAATGGTAAGTACCTAAAACACTTCCACTTCCAGTATTGAATCTCAGAAGACTATACCCTAGGGGGCGCACTTTATTGGGAATATACTGTATTGAATACATCACACACTAATGAATATGCGGATTTTGTAATATCCTCAATGTAATGCAATGAATGTACTTCCTGCTTCATAGTCATTCCATGCTGATGTAATCCAATAAAAAATGTTGAAATATTTCAGTGATCTGTTTACTTAGAAACATGAACTTTAAATAATGCAATCAAAATAATGTTCCAAGGCACTAAAAAAAGCCTTTATTAGTTCATGGCTTTAATTCACAAAATTGGTGACAGAGACACCTACGCGTTGCGGCTTATGCCTTCGTCAGGGTGTGTGTCTCGGTGTGAAGGCATAACTTTTTGTACTATAAATCGAGTGCATTGGAACATTATTTTGATTTCAAACACAACTATCCCAAGCAGCAAAGAGCACCGAGATTTTACACCCTGTGCAGCACTTCAATTGCATTCTCTACTGTGTTTAAATAATGCAATTCAAGTTGATTCCACAGGAAAAGGTGCATCAAATACCCAGCTGGCACCAAGGTTTAAAGGGTTAGTTCACCCAAAAATGAAAATTAAGTCATTAATTACTCACCCCCGTGCTGTTCCAACTCCGTAAGACCTTCGTTCATCTTCGGAACACAAATAAAGATATTCACTATTCCATTACTTCCTTATGGGCGCATGCGCGAGAACGGAGACGAGGACGTTCTCATTCGTCTACTTCTTGTTACCGGCTGCTCACCGCTCAGGAGTTTTACCGCCACCTACCGTATAAAATGATGATCCATATATAAGGCGCTCCGGATTATAAGGAACACTGTCGTTTTTTGAGTGCATTTAAGTGCACCTTATAGTGCGGAAAATACGCAAATTGAAAAGCGTATGTACAGCGCGCATCTTCCTCTGCTTGTAAACAGAAAGTTTTGCGCTTCCAGCTATATCAGCACATCATCTTATACGGTAGGGGGCGGTAAAACTCCTAAGCGCTGAGCAGCCGGTAACAAGATGTAGACGAATGAGAACGTCCTCGTCTCAGTTCTCGCGCATGCGCCCATAAGGAAGTAATGGAATAGTGGAATAAAGTCGTTATTTATGTTTTTTTCGCACAAAAAGTAGTCTCGTCACTTGATAAACTTATAATTGAGCCGCTGTAGGCACATGGAATATTTAAACCTTTTCTTTAATGACTTTATGGGCCGTCAAGAGCCTGTCCCTTAGGCAGTCTATCTAGGACTGATCCAGCTCTCAGATTCAATCAAAAATATCTTTATTTGTGTTCCGAAGATGAACGAAGGTCTTACGGGGTTGGAACAGCATGGGGGTGAGAAATTAATGACTTAATTTTCATTTTTGGGTGAACTAACCCTTTAAGATGATTAAAGGAATATATAAAATTAGTATGTTAGAATGATTAAAGGCATAAAAATGTTAAAAGTTAAAATGACTGTTTAATGATTTTCATCATTTTATTATCAATTCAATAAATCAATGTGATAGTATGAGGGATGATGAATTTAAACAAATGTTTTGTTATGGGTCATAAAACAACAACATGCAAAATCAATATTAAGGGTGTATACTCTACAACTCTAGACTCTCAATGGCTTTATTAGAATTTGTAATACAGTTGAACGTCATTTCTTATTGTACATAGGCCTCAAAATACAGTTTTCATCGTGGGCATCTTCCATTTTCAGTTTATAAGATAGTAAGACAATCAACAAAGTTATCCCGTAAAGTGTCTTTACAAAGTTTGTCACAAGCTTTCTGCAAATACCCCAGTCACTGCTCTGAAATGCACTCCAAAGTCTGGCCTATTTTGCAGCTTCAAATACCTCATTGAGGCTGTTTCCCAGGCAAGGAATAGATTCATGTTTTCCTTTAAGATGACGGCATACAGTGAGCACACGACCGTGACAAGAGCCTCTCGTCTTCGGAGACAATAGCTCTATTATGATTGCAGACTGGTGACATCTCTGGGAAACCGTAAGGCCTGTGCACACAAACACACACACACACCTCTTTAAACAGAACAATAACTGAAGGGCTCAACCTTCAAGACTAAATTCTGCAATACTAACATTTCCAGTTCAGAAAATCTGTCAATTATATTAAACCAATAAACCATCAGCTGTTCTTGTTATATTTTCACTAACCCTCATATGTTGCATTTCTGCACACTTTCTGATGTGCACAAATCTTCTTCCAAACTATTTTCCATCACAATAACATTCACGTGTCCTTTATTCCAGAATTCACACTCCGTACTTTCATTACATCCAAACTCGCTTCACTATCTGACGCAACCATACAATTTCAACAATAACAGCCCATCTTCTCATGCCCTACATATACAAAGACCATAAATATAACTTTAACACAGTTTTCCTTTCTAAAATGCATTGAATCTATGTATCCCCCTTAAGTCCATACAAATAATTTACTTTAAATACACTAGGCCATCAGTTTAAAGGGTGTACCAGTATCTCAATTAAAACATGGCAAATGTTAATAACACATACACATAAATGTGCTGCACTGGTATTACATGAGATCAAGTGAGGCTGTACGGCTCAAGCATAGAGGGAAAGAATCCGCACAAAGGCACTCGAGAAATACACGGTAAACTGCAGTTACAGCTAACCCTGAGAATAAGGCTCGGAATGAATGAGTACAGAAACCTTCATCAGTTAATGGCATTAGCCTAAAAACACCTGTACAAAAAAGGTAACAAAACCCTGAATTACCTCAGATTGGTGCATAGATAAAAACTGTCATTTTAAGATTATGTATATCATAGGCCATCACAGGCATTGAGATATTAGGCGCCTGCCATAGGAGAATGCTAGATTGGTACAACTTAACAGTTTATTATACAATATGTTGGCAGGAAAAAGAAATATTTAAAAAAAAAAATAATGATTTTAAAAACCATAGATAGACTCACTGTTACAAATATTTTCTCATATTTTTGTCACAGAAACACATATAATAGAGGGTTTAAGTGCTTTCCTGATTTTCTTTAGTCATTCTCTAGAAGGAAGTTCTATGACCAATACAAACACATATTTGTGTAATCCAGGGTGTGTTGTACGTGTGTGTGTGTTGAGTCACATTTTTAAAGAGCCCACTAATGTGTCAATACCACACGAAAGGAGAGGATGTAAGTCAAAACACACACCCATACACCGAGGGCATTCCAGTACTGAACCTTTTCAACAGAGACAGTCTCATGAGGTGTTTCTGAATGAACAAGGTCTAATCATACAACCCGAACTCCCTCTGACTCTGAGACACAGAGAACAAAGACTGAAATCTTTCATTTAAGCAGAATTAAAAACCACTGAATGCCCTGCTGCTCTCAAGCGTGTCTTTTTTAAATAGCTTTTTGTTGCTTTAAGTGCAGTAATGGAATTAGTGTCTAGATTAATATGGGCTAAAATCTGCAGAATAATTACACTGATATTGAATGGAGATTAAAATAAAAAATATATTCAAATTAATAACTTAAAACCCAAATATGACAGGAAAAACAAAAATCTTGAGACAGGACAGCAACATAGATATTTAGATTCTCACTACTATAGTATTAATATTACACCAGATCTGGCCCTTTTGTGAAAAGATCATCTTTGGTCAACCAAAGGATGCTGAAAAAGAAGCAAGTTTGTGGGGGAATGTACTCAAGGACCAAAATTGTGATAATGCTATTGGGTGCAAGTGCATTTCCCTTTAGGATCAGCATAAGTGGTCACTGTCGGCCGTGGCTGACATGTCCTCCTCAAAACGAAACCTCTTGGCATGTGGCGAGTCCAGAATGTTCTCTTTGTCTTCAGGATCCTCGGGTGGCGCGGACCACTTGCCCCCGAAACTCCTTTCCCGGGGAGTGCATGGGGTCGCAGGGACTGGATCAGAACCTGGAAAGTGGATCCACAGCCAGGGATGGGTCATGCAGTCGGCTGCACTGGGACGATCCCTGAAAAAGGAGGGGAGAATTTATGTCAAGGACTTTGATATGTGGTTAAGTGGGAACTAATCTGAAACTATCGTTAAGAACAGCAATAAAACCAAAGTACATGAATTAGTTCATGACAACAAGTGCAAATGTAAAATCTAAACTCTACATAGAAACAAACCTTTTTCTTTCCAATAATGCTAAACAGTCTATTTTGACCTCATTTATTCTCAATTGTTTTGTCTTTTCTACAATTGTGAACGCATGTTTGAAAACAAACGAAAAGAAAATGAAACCTGGACTTTGTGAAAACCAAATGTTACACAATCTATGGGAATGGAGAAAGTCAATATCTGAAAACTTTGAGCCATAAAAGAGTGATCGTTGGACAAGTTAATTTGTAAGCCAATTCATTTGTTTGCAATGACTTCATTTCTAAAACACTTCATTTGTAATGCATAATACAACCATATGACCCAGAATAATGACTGTTTTGGAAGTGGGGAAGGCTATTTCAAAGCACTTATTACGACTCTTTATTTATAATTTTGCACAGTACAATGACTGAGCTTGGCAAACTTCACTGTCTGAAATGAGTCACTCACTCTGGAGCTTTGACCAGCAGTTTCTGGATGAAGTCGACAGCCAGCTCAGACACCCTGGAAAAGGCCTCTGTGCTGTAGTCCACGTTCACCTGGGATACGTTTAGGAAGGTCTCCTGTTTATCCTCGCCAGCGAAGGGAGACTCTCCTGTCACCAGCATATAGGCGATCACACCCACACTCCTGAAGTCAATGGATACACAATCAGTTTAAAACCATCAACAAAACATCTATGAAGATCTTTAAGAGCACAAAGTTGTTTGACTCTATTATTATATTGACGTAAGAATTATTATTCAATCGATCAAAAGTGATAGTAAAGACATAATGTATAATGTAATAATGTAACACAAGATTTATATTTCAAACGAATGTTGTTTCTGTTCATCAAAGAATGCTGAAAAAAACAAAAACAACGTGACAGTATTTTCAACATTAATAAGAAATGTTTTTTGAGCACTAAATCAGCATATTGTAAAAAAAAAAAAATGCTTTGCCTTCACAGGAATAACGTTTAACAACAATTTACAATATTACTCTTTTTTTTTTTTTTTTTTGAAAAAATGAATGCAGCCTTGGTGAGTCTTTTAAAAGCCATTTTAAAAAGTCTTACCCCAAACTTTTGAATGGTAGTGTATGGCTTTCAGATTGCTCTATTTTTTGTCTTTACTTGTTCTTTACAGAATATAGTAGACAACAATTCTCACATATCCCAATATGGAAATAGTTTGTGGAAATATGAATTTCCACAAACTGTGTATTACAAGAAAAATGTCTATTGACCATTGAAATTTCCATGACCTTCTACAAGTTTATTAATGTCCATGACATTTCCAAGTCTGGATATCAGCCAGTGGGAACCTTGTATATTGAAACACCTGATGAAAATGATTAAGACTCACCAGAGGTCTGTTGCTGTGGTGATTGGTTCATAGTTCAGGATCTCAGGGGCTGCATGTATGATCAAAAGCAAAACAACCATATACATAACTTTCAATGAGCTTGAACTCTTCTGCAATAATGAGACCATGAACAGAGAAATATGTGTGGATTTGAAGATGAATGACACTGAATAAACCTTACCTACGTACTCAGGGGTTCCCAGAATCTCTCTGAGCTCCCCAGCAGAGCCTAACCGGCGAGCCAACCCAAAATCCACTATCTTTATATCCCCCAGTGGGCTCAGATTGGTCAAGAGAATATTCTGGGGCTGAATGAGAGAATACAGTCTCAATAAATACAACTAGTGCTTTCAAGAAGAAATGCACAGAATCAAATTCAACACGATTGGATCAGGCAGATTATAGTTTAAAGGGCTGGCATTTCAGGACAGAATGTGTCCAATGAAGATGTTAAAAGCAGCCGTGCAGCTAACCTTCAGGTCCAGGTGGACCACGCTGTTCTGGTGGAGTAGATGAACACCCTCAAGCATCTGTCTGATCAGACGGGTGATCTGACCTTCAGGAAGCAGCTCCTCTGACACACAGTGATCAAATATCTCTCCACCCGCCGCACTAAGACACACGACACATTCAGGGTTATTCTTAGTACTGAACCCAACGATCATTTTGTGATCAGGGACGTGCAACCGATGCTTCTAGTCACAGCACTCACTATTCCAGCATTAGGACGAGGTCGTGATCGGTCTCATATACAGCATACAGGTTCACCACACGAGGGTTGTTCTTCGCTGACTCTAGAACGGCAATCTCATGAATGACCTCCGCCCTGCAGTCGCGACCTCGTCGCCGCTTCTTGATGAACTTCGCAGCGAAGACTTTCCCTGTGGCCTTTTCCACACAGCGCTTCACCACTGCAAACTTCCCCCTGAAGGAGGCAAACAGAGAACACAAAGAATATAAAAGAGGTAGAGAAAGATTCAAATGAGTGCAATGAAAGCTAAATGTGACAAGTGGAACATTTCGAGAGATAAATAAAGTACCTAAATTTTCAATATCTGTCACGAGTCACGACTCACACCCATTGCAGTTCTCGACATTCACACCAAAGCTCTTTCTGACACAGATAGTTATTAACTGAGTCAAAGCCTCCATTAGATGTTCTCACCGTTTAATATCAGGTTAGATGACTGATGTGAGCCAGTCTTTACTTGAGAAACTGCAATTACTGTCACAGCATGAACAGGTGAGACATTAGGCCACAAGCGAAGCATATACTCAAAATCAATCCCACAATTCGTTGGACCAGACCATCACCTTTATAAACCATTTTGTTATAATGTCCGACTGCATATTGCATACTGTATCGAGTTAGATCTTGGAACCAAGTCAAGACAGTAAAATTCACAACATATACACAAATTACCGGTAAAAGGTTAAGGCTCATTTTTGAACAAAGTTTTATATACTCACAAAGGCTGCATTTATTTGACAAAAAAATACAGTAAAAATCATAATTTTGAGAAATATTAGAGATATTTTTCTAAATGTAATTTATTCCTGTGATTGCAAAGCTGAATTTTCAGCAGGCATTACTCCAGTCTCAGTGTCACATGATCCTTAAAAAACTAAATCAAATCAAATACTAATTTTCAAAGCAGTTGTGCAGCTTAATATTTTCTTCAGGATTCTTTGATGAATAGAAAGTTTAAAAATAACAGCATTTATTTGTTGAATAAAATAGATATAATAGAATAATTAAACTAAAAAATATTTTAAATAATATTTTAATAAAAATGAACTTTTTTATCAATTTAATGTTTTCTTACTGATAGGAGCATTCATTTCTTTATTAAAAAAACGTCAAAAGTTTCGAACGGTGTGTGTATATACATAGCCATGAGTAGAATTCATATTCAATATTGATATTTTTATGATTTCTTAATATTTTATATGACTTTCCCAGACTTTCCCAGGGAAAAATCTTTATTTACAGGTTTCTCTATCAGAAGTAAAAATTGACTTAACCAATAAACTCCATTCTCACAGGTTCTAATTCAAAACAAAATTGCTCTTTTGAGCAACTTTGCAAGTCATCTTTTCATAAAACCCATAAAAAATATCACAGTATTCAAACTTTCTTTCCACAGAACTGACTTCCTTCACTGCACCTTCCTCCGCACTGACAAGTTAAAACAATAAATGAACTATGAAATGATTTCCTGTTAACAACAGCACAGCCGGTAGCATAAAAACAGCCCGAATATGGCTGCAAGCAAATGAAAGAAAGAGGAAGAGACCAATATTACTTCCTCTTTCTCAGTATTCACAGTACAATCTACAGCACAACACCAAACTGGGTCTGGTTCCCACATGGGTTTCCTTCCTGCTAAAAGCTCCAAAGCCTTGCTGTAGAGCTTTAGCAATGACACACACACACAAATATTAGTCACAGTTCAGTGAGCAAGGCCTTTCCAATCCCGAATAATACAGAAGCAGGACAGACGCCAACTCCATACAGCAGACAACCTTCAGTCCTACTCACCCTGTGAAAAAATAAACTAAATAAACCAAGAAAACCTCTACTCAAGTCCATATATCTGCTTATAATCTGGGACCACGATACTTCCCAAAATGTCAATATATGATACATAATACAACTACATGCACATTAGCAATTAGATGAAATAACGTGAAAATGAATGTTTCTATTAAGCAAAGATGCATTAAATTGGTCAAAAGTAGCAATAAATATGTTTACATTTACAATAATTTTGATTTCAAATAAATGCTGCTTGTCTGAACTTTCTACTCAATGTTGAATCCTGAAAAATAATGAATCAGGGTTTCCACAAATATATTAAGCAAAAAAACTATTTTCAAAGATTGATAAGAAATGTTTCTTGAGCAGAAAATCTGCATATTAGAATAATTTCTGAAGGATCATGTGACACTGAAGACTGATGCTGAAAATTCAGCTTTACCATCATAGGAATAAGTGCCAATGATTAACAAATATTAAAATAAATAGATAAAGTTATTTTTAACTATAATGATAAATATTCGAACTATATCATCCACGTATATTATAACGTGTAGTGCAAAGATAAGACTAATAGGATATAAGAGGACAAAAACATGCTACAGCTCTGTAATCTGACAGTACGTTTCTTCTGTATCAGAAAGATATAACAACCACATTCACGGACAACATACCGATACATATTTACATTACTGCACTGAGCATCAGTTCTGCAGTCACTGTATTGTTTATCAACATATGAAGACATTATGATAACATTTTAACAATCATTTTAAGAAGTAAACAATTAAAGAGACACAGACTTCAGGTAATGGGAAGTATATTTACACACCTGCCAAGTTCGTGGCTCATGTCAAAAACGGCATCCAGAGGATCCGTGTGGATGTGAGTGTGGATCTCTGACAGCAGAACCGAGGATCCACTGCGACTGTCCAGTCTCCTCCGGGCCATCACCACCAGCGAGTGTCCAGTGAAGAGTGCAGACTGCTTTTATCACTTCAACAACACTCTGCTCATGTTCAGAGTCCCCACCAGGAAAAAAAAAAAACACCCACAGCCACCGGCCTCTTGAAACGTTGAAACACCTTCAGAACGACACAGAACCCCGCCGCGGTTATCCAGAAAGTGTTGCCAATGAATGAATTCACTTAACGTGCTAGCTAAAGTGAGTTCAGTTTGAGCACGACAACTGATGCTAAGAACATCTAGCTAGCGCAGATTAGCTCATTTAAGTTAGCCCTAAACGATTCCGCAAAACGCTTAAACTCTAACCTTTATGTATACGAACGTACATGGAGATCCGTCTCATTTTGTTCAAAATACAAACCGACCAACAGCGCTTCCTTTCACGTAGGACAAAATCACGACACTAACAAGTTAGAACTGACACCCTCTTCCTCTTCTCACGCGAACAACAGCAGCTTTAGTTCAACTGACAAACTATCGGTAATAAAGCCTGAATGAAGCTGAACGAAGAGTAAACACGCTCGTCTGGCTAGTTCATACTGAGGTAAATCGGTTTGGGATTCTGCGATTCAAATCTTGTCTTGTCCGGAGTTTCTTCAGTTTCAAATTCGGCTCTGATGCCAATACAGAGAAGTGAGGCACTACGTCACCACCTCCGTCATCATCACGGTCGTTAGAATTCGCCCATTGTACGAACGAACGAACGAACGAACGAACGAACGAACGAACGATAGATAGATAGATAGATAGATAGATAGATAGATAGATAGATAGATAGATAGATAGATAGATAGATAGATAGATAGATAGATAGATAGATAGATAGATAGATAGATAGATAGATAGATAGATAGATAGATAGATAGATAGATAGATAGATAGATAGATAGATAGATAGATAGATAGATAGATAGATAGATAGATAGATAGATAGATAGATAGATAGATAGATAGATAGATAGATAGATAGATAGATAGATAGATAGATAGATAGATAGATAGATAGATAGATAGATAGATAGATAGATAGATATAGGGTTATTTAAAATAAGGTTATTTTAAATAAGTTTATTTTAAATAAGGTTATTTCAAATAATGATTTTAGGCTATACCAATACATGGTAAAAACAAAGAAATTATTTTGTTTTACAGCATTCATTCTTGTTTTTATTTAAGTGTTCAGTGTTTGCTTATCTGTTTAGTTGCTTATAAAAGCTACTGTCATCAAATGTGAAATGCAGAGGAGCTGGAACTTTGCAGGTCTGCTTTAGATTTTATTGTCCTAAGTAGACTAACTGAAGTAGGCAACTGGACTTTAGTCCATGGAAATGCAAACTCAATGAGTAAACTGACAGGTGGAGTATGATTGGCCAAGCTGAAAGATTAAATGTAAATCATGGCTTTAACAACACTTCAGAAAGCTGCCTGTCCTGTGTCAAGGGGAAAAAGTAGGCTATTTGCAATAAAAATGCGAATCCGTTAAAGCACAAAGACAAACACAAAAGAGTCCAGACAGCACTCAAATCTACTGGTACATTCAGTGCAAAATATAATTTAAACACAGGACAAGACTGACTTACATATATTACAGCTATATACAAAAATGGACACATCATGGAACTCATGCAGGTTCACATTTTCACCAACTGGTTTCAAGTGATGGCTCTTTCATCAGCATATTACACAATCAGTGACCCACAAAGTTTACATAACAGCTGATGTTTGAAAAGTATGGAAGTGATATTTTCTATTTTCTCATTTACTTATTCCCCCAATCCCATCCCACCCCCATTGTAACAGCAACTTCTCATGCAAATTCAGATAATCTGGACTTGTTGTTTCACTAATTCCAGCATGCAATATCAAGCTATGACACAACGCCATCTAAGGGTCAAACTCAGGTACTGTTTCTTCGACCCTGCATGCAGTATTTTATCCAAAGATCCATTACATAGAGAAAGGAGCTGTTTTAAGACAAATCCATATCCAAGGATCTGAGCATTGGCCAGATTTGCATTTGTGTGGTGTGAATGCGTGATTTCAATGTATTGCTGAGTTGTGTGTGTGTTTGTGAGGGCTCGTGGAGGGAACACAGACGGAAACGACATGTCTGTAAACGAGGGGTGCAACTTGTCACCCAAAAATGAGGAACTTTTCATCCATTATTTACGTTTAGCTTCGATCTGTAGTTACATTAAATGGAAATTCCTGCACTGTTCCATGTCATATTTCCAAAACACTTCATACCACGTGTGCAAGGGCGATACAGTTTGGATTTCTACTCCCTACACATTCTAAAATGTGTTTTTTCATTCACTTTTCTTTTCTTTTTCCATAGCAGAAGAAACTTGTTAATCTGTTTTTACTGGTTTAACTACTAAAGCCTCACTGTGCAGTGAACTGCACACATTACCATGATATTAACTACACCCAACTAATAAAGATGATTTCAAGGCCACTGTTTGTGTCTGTCACCACAGTTTAGAACAATAGGTCTCCTTATGATTAACTCTAAGAACAAATCTACCATTCCTGATACACAAATATCTGTTGCACACATTGCACATGGTGATCAGTGTTTATACATTCATAGGTTTTGTTGTTGTTGTTGTTGTTTTTAACATTTGCGGGTTGCATAAAAGGTTGACAGGTGGATTTAAAAAAATGTGTGCATTATATAAAGTACTGAGTGTTAGTGTTTGTTAGTTAACCAGCGAACAAAGTGAATTACTACATTTAAAGTCCCCTGGAACAGTCTGGTGATAAATGTCTTGCTCAAGGGCACAAGAGGTGAAAGAGGAACTCTAGGATCATTCTTTTCAGGATTTGAACCTAGGACGTTCAGGTTGCTATTCTACAACCACTACATTTGGTGCAGGGATCTCTATAAGAGAGTGCATGCTGTTTGTTTTCATGGGTTCAGTCTCTTTAAAGATGGCAAAAAAAAAATGCGTTTTCAGAACTGAAGCCAAGATCAATGTCATTTAGACCCTTCAAAGCAAAGAATGCCAACCATAAGTGAAACCTCTGAAACGAAAAAAGTCCTTTTTTAACTGACATTAACTTTCCATGACAAAGACCTGTATCAAAAATCAACAGCTTTGCTCCTTTAAACCCTATAGATATAGTTTTGACTTTTAAAAAAAGCAGCTCAGTCAAGAACAAAAGATCAAAATGTACTGGTCAAACCAATGTGAAGGCCAAAACCAGACAACAAAGATTCCAGCTCTGATTTCTGTGAATGTGTAAAGGCCCAGGTATACTTCATTTTCCGCATTCCGCTCCATCCTCGGAGCCTTTCAAAGTATACTTCTTTGGCCGCGAGTGCGAAAAGACACATTTGGCGTGTGCGCACTATCTAGTGGACTTTGTTTTCAAGCGCTCAACTCACACATGCACTGCTGTACGTACACGGTCCGCGTGGACACTACAATTGGGCTGTGCGCGATGATGACCCTCCAGATGATGAAAATGACATTACGCAGACAGTGCGCTAACTGTCGCGAAACACGGAGAGCCGAAGTATACTTTGGGCTTAAGTCTCTTTGTGTGAAGAAAGAATCGATTGCAGTTATCACAGGCTTTGAGTTCATACACTATGGAGCAGGAGTTGGCACATGCCCAATGAGTCATTTGATGGCATATATTCCAGTTCTGTAGACTTTGTCAACAAGATTATGTAATTGTCTGATGACCAAGGTCGTAGTGAAGAGTGAGGGATGGAAATAAAGTTTGTATAGTGAGTCAAAAAAAAAAAAAAATCAGTGGCACTTTTGATGTGATGGGAGCTCACTCCAGACCAAAGGTGCTGGTCTCCTCCACAGCAGTGAGCATCTTCTCGTAGAGCATGGAGAAAGAGGGGTAAGGAGGGAGATCCAGGCGGTTAAAGCAGGTGTGAGCCCTATGCAAACATATAAAGACAACATGGCATTAGCCGATTGAACATCGGTGTGGGATAATGTATAACAGTCACCGTAAGGTGTGTGTGTCACACACAAAACATAAAAAGCAGAAATACCGTGGGAGGGAGGTCACTTTGCCCCATTTCTCCACACAGAATCGACGTGGGCCGTTACTGCCCCGCAGGGAGGCAAAGCCCTCATAGGGAACGCTGGAAGTGCCTGTAACAAACTGAAGGAAAGCAGAGCACATTTTGACTTGGCTAATTAATAATCTACTAATCTACCAGAAGAGTTTTGGTTTAAATGGGAGCTCAGATAAGAATGCAAATGTCAGAGGTTTTGTTTTACACTATATAAGCTCACTACTGTAAGTGAAATGTGTATCGGTTCATGTATTCCCTAGGAGTCAACCCCCCAGCTTTAGCTACATAAGCTTTATGAGGTTATGTTTTTGAAAGTCTCTTGCTGAGCATTGAACAGCATTTACTTGATATAGAATTTTTCTTTAACAGTCACTTTTGATCAGTTGAATACATCCTTGCTAAATAAAAGTATTCATCTCTTATATAAAAATACTTTCTTTCTAATAAAAAAAAAAATTACTGACATCAAACTTTTGAATGGTCGAGTATCTGACTCATTGTGATGATAGTGAGATCTGAGTGTACCTGAAGGAGTCGTAGTCTCTGTTCATTATTGAAACGCTCCACTGCTGCCCAGAACCACCGAATCACTATGTGGTTGTCATGATAACCTTCAAAGGCAGAGATGAGAAAAAAAGTCACATTATGATATCCAGCTATAACATTTTTACACATTCTGAGATATTCTTGCCTGGAAACAACAACTGAATCTGTTTCAGTAAAAAAATACCTCCTCTGTATTCTGTATTGCTTCTCCAGTCGGATAAATCAATCTCTGCTGTTCCAGCAATGACCAGCTCCAGCTCTCGGGCATCAAACACTGAGACGAGTCGGACGTCCACCACCTGCACAATCACAAGGTCTCAGATCAACGGAGTTAAACTAGAAGTCATTAATGTTCACAGATTCAGACAACATCATACCTCATAGAATCCTCGCACAAGACTCTCGGTCTGCTGGGCCACACCTCTCTCAATCCTCCACTTCACCATGCGTTCAATGTACTCTTTCTTGTTCTTGTCTGACACAGCAATGCCAGACCCACCCGGCTTTAGCTCACGCTCTGTAATCTGACATAAAGAATCATCCAGTTCACCCTAAGTTTATATAAATGTACAATGAATAGGCTAACAAACTAAAATAGATTTTACATTTTTGGTTGCTAGGGTGTTGCTAGCATGGTTTGGGTGATTGTTATGGTGTTGCTAAGGTGTTCTGAGCTGTTGCTAGGACATTTGCTCATCCAAATACCCTACTCTCACATGTTTATGATGTTCAGATTAGGATATTTTTAGGAATAATATAAGGACTAACAACAATGCTTGCCTTAGCAAACACCACTAATAGTGGAACAGTTTTGTAATTACAAATAATGGCGCTTAGAAATGTTGCTTTGAGATTAACTGAAATAAATGAATAAAAAGTTGTATTACTAGTTACTGTACTAAAATGACTAAAACTGAAATAAAACTAAAGCTAAATAGAAACAATATCGTTTTAAAGGCAATAAAATTACTAAAACTTAAATGAAAGCTTAACATATACAAATAAAAATGCAAAAAAAATTATAATTAATAATAATTGATCTGAATCATAGTGCAAAAATAACATTGTTGATGGCATGGTATACTCTTGCTAGGGTTTAGGACTTTTCTAGATACAGAATAG